AGGAATCCACCAGGCTGCCCAGGGCAGAAAGGGGATCAGAGAGGGTCACAGGAGCCTCTTGGGACCTGGGAGAGGCAGTGCCAGCTCCTCGGCTCAGCAGCTGGGACTCAGACAGCACCTCGGCCTCTCTGGCTCTTTGGGGCACAGCATCTCTCACCCCCACTCGCCCTGCACTTTCCTCTTCTGCGCTTGGCCACGCTCCTGGCCACTCTGCTCTCGGCTCCTGTGTCCTCAGTTCAAACCACCCTCAGGCAGGTTCAAGGCCAAATTCTCAGGAGAGGGGGTCTGCCTACTGGCCACCAGGTGTCTAGGCATGGGCAGCCCAGGGGCTGTGCAGAGGGGGCTCAACAGGCCCAGGTCCGGGGCTGTGCAGAGAGGGCTCGGCAGGCCCAGGTCTGGGGGCTGTGCAGAGGGGGCTCGGCAGGCCAAGGTCCGGGGGCTGTGCAGAGGGGGCTCGGCAGGCCCAGGTCTGGGGGGGGCTCGGCAGGCCAAGGTCCGGGGGCTGTACAGAGGGGGCTCAGAGCCCCAGTCTGTGGGGCTGTGCAGAGGGGACTCGCAGACCCAGGTCTGGGGGCTGTGCAGAGGGGGCTCGCAGGCCTAGAACAGGCTCACAGCTGGTGAGGGAGCCCTGGTAGGGAGGGCAGTTCTCACAAATGAGGGGTGTGACTCTGGCAGACTCCCAGCCCTCAGCTTGCCCATGACAGACAGGTAAGGGCAGCTGCCCGGGGTGAACCTGTGTCTCAATCTGCCCCTGCAGTGTGCAGGAGTCAGAGTGACACCAGGTTTGGGGGGTGGAAATATAGTTTTAGGGAAGAATGGTTCTCTCATGTTCTGCGGAAGATGAGCTTTTCAGGGCCACAGAGGCAGGCTTATTTCTAGGATAAAGATGCTTTTATCAGGTTCATGAAATTCAACAGTGAGGAGGGAGTTTAAGGAAATTCCTCCTGGGTTTCATTACGCTAATTATCAACATATTTCAGACCACATGGAAGTGCTTTCAAGGGTGTCTTGTTGGGGTTCCTCGGTTCAGAAGGACGGTGCAGGGAGGATGAAAGGCAGGGACGTTGGGCCTAATCAAGGAGTGCAAGGCTCTGAGGCGCCGAATGGCTGGCCCGTCAGGGCGGCTCGGCCATGCGGCCTTGTCTGGGTGCCAGCCGAGGCCTCTCATTAAGCGCTGTCTTTAAATTGCCTGTTGGTTTAGAATCTTTATGGCTTATTTTGCAAGTGGCCACAAAACCTTCAAATACCTAATTTTCTCCTGCTGATCTTGGGTCTGCCCTCCTACGCAGAATTCTCTTGCATTGCTGGTGTCAACCAAGATATCTTCATTTTAGCCATTTCCAAATGGCTTCTGAAATACTTGCTAATAATTACGCCAAGTGCCGTGGTAGAGCAGGCGACGGTCCTTCTCTGGGCCCTGGGACCTTCCCGCCATGATACTGGCAGGACTACCCAACGCAGCACAAATCCAGGTGGGGAGCCAGGCAGCCTGGGTTCAACCAGCTGAGCGGCTCAGCGGACTGGTGCATGCTTGTTTAGTCTGACTCTGAGCGCTTCGCAAGGCCTCCACACTGGTCATGCAGGGAAGGGGGACAGGCCGCAGGGTTCAGGGGCTCCCTGGGGCCATCACCACAGTCGCTAGCAGAGCTTGCCTGAGAGGTACCATGATGCTCCAAAGCAAGAGGAGCCTGGACTCAGGAAGTGTCAGGAAGCCACAGGGCCAGGGGTGCCTCCAGAGTGCTGCGGTACAAGGTAACCTGGAGTTGAAGAGAGCCTGCTCGTTTGATTTTTAGCCATGTATCATGAACTATCATAACAGCACTTGGGAGCAGGGAGATTCATGAGAAAGTGCCCATGGACCCAGCACCTGGACTCCCCTGGCATCACTCGTGGCACCTGGTGTCCTGTTTCACCCTCACCTACAGCCTGCTGCCTCTGGCCCATTTACCGTAAAGCAAATCGGGGCCTGCCCCAAGGTGCAGAGGTCACATGTTGCTCAAGAGAAGCCAGATCCCACATGCAAACCCGGTTTGAATCCCCAAATCCCCAGCCCGGTCAGCCTGAAACGTGGAAGGCATGTGCGTGAGTGCCCCAGGTCCAGCGGCTGGAGGACAGAGGACGGGCATCTGAGAAGGGGCCTATGTGTGACCAGACCCTGTAGGACTCTCCCTTTCTCACGTGCACACACGGGCTCTATCGTGAATACAGAAAAGGAAAATAAACACACCTCGATACCATTTCCTCTCCTCCATGGAGGTGTTAGTTGGTACCTACCGAGGGACTGAGTATATAAATGGGCCATGGTCAGACACGGGTGAGAACGGAACTCGACTTGCAGTCTGCAGCGGCCGGCCTGGGAGACCTACCCATTGCAACAATGGCCAGTCGACACCAGCATACTGTCAGTCAGACTGCTCTCTCTACTGCCGTCTCTACCAACCAACCCACTCGGCCAGGACTTGGTTAATGACCACCAGCTTCCTTAACTTGTGTCCCCTCTTCCAAAGCAGGACCAGCCAGAGAAAGCCAGCTGTACTCCCCTAACCAGCCCCATAGGACACCCAGCTTCTGCTCAGCCCACCCCTGCACCCCAGGCCAACAGCCCCCAGGCAGGGCTGCCTGGAGCCTTCCCTTTGCCACTGCAAAGCTCTCCTTCCCACCCTTTTGCCGCCCCAGCAGCTGCCAGCGGCGAGTGATGGCGGCTTCCGGGCCACAGCAGGCTCAAACTCAGCAGGCCGTGCATGTCTGACATGGATGCCCTTTGTCAACTTGGTTAACTGCAGCCCAGAGCACCCGAGGGCCCGTCTTCTTGGCAGCCTCTCCTTTAAGGTCCTCTGGATTTTCTCCATTCCCTCCATGTGTCTGTCTGGGTGCCACATTGTGGGGTCTGCTCTCTTCCTTCTAAGCCTCTTATCCTGTTCCTTCCCTCCTCTGCCCCATGTCTCTGAACTGCCTGTCTTGCCTCCTCTCCCAGCCTCCAGGAGACAGCTCCTGCTGGCTCCCAACCTGCCATGACCACTCCCAAGAAGCAGCATGACCTCTGAGCTGGGAGTCATCTGTAAGGGATTCGCTGGGCAGTTCATAGGGAGCACAGGCCCAAGAACTGAGCTTCCCTTCCCTCCCAGGGCCCTTTTAGGCACAAGAGGCCAGGGATGGGTCAGACCCGAGCATCCAGCTGTTCCCCTCTCCACTCTCTTCCTGGGGTTCAGATGGGGCATTGAAACTATCTACCAGGACTTCTGAGCAAGCATGGCCCACCGTGGTCATACAGGGACGTTAGGGTCCCTTAGGAAAAAGCCTGGTGACAGGACACAGGCTCATGTCATCCCAGTATGAGGAAACTCAGGGTCAGAGAAGTTAAGTGACACTTCAGGGGACAGGGACTGTGTGGGACCTCCACAGTCAATCCTTGCATTCTTCGAGGGAAGGGGAGGCACTGCCAAGCTTTTCGGGGGTTTTGCTGCTGGTCCTCAGGAGGCTAGGAAGCAGCACCGGGAGCTGCAGCGAGGAGAGGGGACAAGATTGTGACCAGTCCTGTCAGCTTGTCCCTGACTCGCCAGGTTGGGGGTGGGGAGGAGAGCAGCGCAGAGCTCTGGAAGGAGGGAGCGTTTGTGCCAAGACGGTTTGGCAGGGCTTCGAGCGGAGAGGCGCCCCTGAAAGCCCCTGCTGCTGACGTGACACATCAAAGCTGGCATTGAGACAGCACCGTGGCGGGAGCGGCGGGGGCACACTCGGGAGGGGCCCCCTCAAAGCTGCCCGCCTGTCCCCTGCCGTGCGGGCTGCGGGGGGTGCCATGCCCTACCCAGACCTGCTGCCTTTCAACCCGTGTTCCTGCCTGGCTGGCACCCCGGCCCCCAGCCCCCGTACCTGTTTGAATGCTGCCTTCTGAATGGGTGCTGTCAGGGAGGGAAACGAACCTTGGGAAAACAGACTCAGGATGGACACAGTCCCTGCCTGGAGTCAGGAAGGGACATGAGGGGAGAGGAAAGGGTGGGAGGGTGTGTGGGCTGAGGAGGGGGGTGGGGGGGGGGCTGCTTCCTGCCCAGCCCACCTTCCTCCCTCTCTCGCTAAGCTTGGGAAGCTTCCCTGGGTACCTGGGAGGAAATTGGGCCTGGCAGAAATACCGGCAATTTCTCAATGGCCAGCTGTTCAGGTGGCTGAAGCCAGTGGTTCTCCAGGTGTGGCCCCCAGGCCAGCAGCATCTGCACACTTTGGGACTTGTCAGAAACCTGTATTCTCAGCTCCACTCCACACCTGCCGAATCGGGAGCCCGGGGGTGAGTCTCAGCTACTGTAATTTACGAGCCCTCCCAGGGGTCTGTTTCTCACACCTCTGAGTTCAAGACCATGAACAAAAAATGCGGACAGGGCAGGGGCGATGCAGTGAGCACATGGGTGTCTCAGGAGGTGCTAGAGCCAGGGACTGGATGCTGGTGGGTCTCCTTGCCTCTCTGATCTTTCTTCTGTGCACCATCCATCCGTCCTCTTTCTTCTGTGTGCCATCCATCCATCCATCATCCACCCTTCATCCATCCATCATCCATCCATCTATCTATCCGTTCATCCATCTATCCATCCATTCATCCATCCATCCATCATCCATCCTTCATCCATCCATCATCCATCCATCATCCATCATCCATCATCCATCCTTATCCATCCATCCATCATCCATCATCCATCATTCTTTCATCCATCATCCATCCATCTATTCATCCATCCATCCATCCATCCATCTCTCTCTCCCCTTTTGCTCTTGCTTTTGACTTTTGCTGTCCTCTTCATAGAAGCCAGCCTAGGCGTATTTCACATGTATTACCTCATGGACTCCTCACAGCAACTTCAAACTACGCTCTCTGTCTTGTTTGCAGACGAGGCCTGGAGCGTGGTAGCCACTTGTCCAGGGTCACTCAGTGGGCAGCAGGGCCTAGACCATGAGTGTCTGAGCTGACAGCTGATGCAGTGGTCCCCCAGGGGCCTCCCGGGGTCAGTGTCCCTCCATTCTAAAGCTGGCGTTAACCTGGAGTGCCTGATGGCTCAGCCTCCTCTCCCTCCAGAGCCATCTCCACCTGTGAGCCCAGCGAGCTGGTCACCCGGAGTGCCTTGTCTCACCTCCACTCATCGCCCAGCCCAGCCTCAGTAGCTCAGGGGAAAGGCAGGGCAGGAGGCCTCTGGGATGACAATCCAGGGAAACCTAAATGTGCTGAACTTCACCTCTGCAGGGCTTGTCCCGCCCTCCCCCTCCCTCTGAATTGGGGGGGGGGGAGGCTGCTCATGGGGCACAGCTAGATAAGCTATTCAGGGGTAGGCAAAATGGCAGACCCCATACTTCCCCACCCTGCCACCAGAACACAAAGGAAAGCGTGGACAAATCCTGCCGGGTACAGAGTTCTTACTGCACTGAGTCTACGTTGGCAGGACCCAGAGGGCTCACGATCCTGCTCGAGTGGTTCTGTGATGTCCCAGCTCTCTGTCCCCGTAGGTGACAGTGCTCAGCATGCGGAGGCAGAATCTAGTTCCTCCGAACCCTCGTTAAGTGTTGGCTCTGGAATCAAAGATGCAGACCTCTCTCCGGCATCGCTGCAGTGGAGCAATGGCAGGGCTGCTTCTAGCCCTATGAACTTGGGGGACATTAGGAAAGGTGCTTGTGCCCTGGGCCTGCACAGCCCCACTCCGGTGTCCCTGGCTTGGTGGAAGGAGCATTGGGTAATCAGCCGGGCACCAATGCAGCCTATACCTGTGGGCCAGGGCCTGGACGCTGCAGCCAGCCAGGAAGAAGCCCTCCCTGTTTTCCCCGGAGGCTGGTTTGGCCCTCATGTAGCCTGGCATGAGCAGTTTGGGCCGGCCTGGAGCTCTCCCGTGTGGGGGGCTGGGGGCTGGGGACAGGCACTGGCTCTGAGCCATCGAAGGGAGGGCAAGTGGGCTCTCGGGAGCTAATTTCTGGGGGCGGCTCCTAGGCCTTCGGGGCTTTGTTAGGAAGTTGTAGAAACTCAGATGTGAATTTTGGTTGGAGAGGAGGTTCAGAGGAGAGAGCGGAGGGTGGCTGTCCACAGCTCCCTCTGTGCGCACCCCCCTGTGCATGCTCCATTCCCCGAGCCTGGCAGAGGCAGCACTGTGGCTAGACCCGCTGGGTCCAGGTCCTGCCCCTGCTCCTCCCTGGCTGTATAACCCTGGGGAAGTGGCTTACTTTCTGTGAGACTCAGCTTTCTCCTCTGTGACAAAAGGGATAGAAATGGTACGGTTAATGCAGAGTTGTTACATCAAATAAGGTTCTGCTTGGCACAGAGCCTGGTGCATGGCACATACCCGTCAAAGGCTAGGCGCCATTACTATTGCTCGTGGAATGAATGAAAGGACACGAAGTTTCATTCATCATCCATCAGCGGAACTTGCCATGCCCGTCACACTGTTCCAGTGCTGGGGCAGTGGTCTGTCTACTGGCCCATATTTAACAACCAGCTTGGGGAGGGGAGGGGACGCTTACTTGTAGTGCCCATTTCTGTGGTGTAAACACTCCCTCTATGGCCAACTTCAAGTTTCCTTGTGGGCTCACTGAATGTGGAGTTGAGAAGCTCTTGAGAGCTTGTGTGAGCCAGCTGCCTCCCCAGCACACCACGTAGCCGCATGTAAGAAATGATCCCTTTCCTTAAGGAACTTTGCAACTTACTGGGGATACAGAGGATGCCGCGGGTTAGTGCAAGAACAGATCATGGGTCACAGGAAGCAGCACTTCCTCTACATGGGAGGGTCAGGGAGGGCTTCCTGTAGGCGGTGGTGCTTGGGCTGGACTCAGAGGGAACCTGGAGTTACTCAGGTGGAGGTGGGGCAGGACATTCCAGCACAGGCACAGGATACAATGAGCACATGCCAGGGAGAGAAGAAAACCTAAGGGGGGTGGGGAGTGGGGCCGTGGAGGCTGGCGGAGGGCTAGTACCAGATAGTGGCTAGCCAGGGACTTGGAAGACTGCCTGCACAGCCGAGTCTACCCAGGCCCCAGCTCTGCCCATGTGCCTAGCAGAGGTATGCCTTGCTGAGCTTCGAGATGCAAGTTCAGGCCCTCATGCTTTGTGTCCTCTTTCCTGCAGACAGTTCCCAACTCGCTGCTCGTCAAACTGATTCAGGACCGTCTGCATGAGAAGGACTGCAGCAGGCGGGTGAGACCACTGTGTGGCCCCAGCTCTGGCTGGGTGGGGGCTCCATCACCAGGAAAAGGGGAGGGGAAGGGGCGCACTCATCTCTGGGAACAGAGATGACTGGAGTCACACAGAGAAGGTAAAGCAGACAAGCAGGAGCTGGCCAAGGTCAGTCCGTAGGTGTGGGCTCTGTCTTTGTCGGAAGAGGCAGAACAGTGTGGGATCCGGTGTCCCGTCAGGGCTCCTGTTGGACAGAGGTCCCAGAAGGATCTTAGTGGGGGGACGGTTGCAGAAGTGTGGGCGAGTTAGGGCAGCAAGCGAGTGTTGGTGAAACACCATGGATGGGTAGGGGCAGGAAACTGAGACACCTCTCCCCGGAGGCCCTGGGCACAGTGGTCTATAGCCATGGGACAGGCTGCCACGGGAAATGGAAGCATAACCCCCCGCCGAATGGTGCGGGGGCTCGGGATGATTGCCCCTGCCAATCTGTGTACTGGCCAGACCCAGTGAAGCCAAGGGGCAGGAGTCAGCCCCCCGGGGCATGGAAGAGGCTGGAGAATGGGGAGGGGAGGCCCTGGAGGGACCAGAGGAAGACAGCGAGCATGAAGACTAGCTGCCAGGTACTGCCAGGAGCCACGGCAGGGCCTGGCAGGAACCCTGTCGGGTGACACTCTTATTTCCCCCTTTGATGACGAGGAAACTGAGGGTCAGCTGTGGGATTTGCAAATAGTTTCTCCCAGTGTGCAGTGTGTCTAATCATTCTCTTAACAGTGTCTTTCACAGAGCAAGGGTTTAATTTTTTTTTTTTTTGAGAGATTTTCACTCTAGGGCATGTGCGCTCGCCAGACAGACAGAGAGAGACATAGAGACAGAAAGCGAGAAATCACCCCCCAGGGGGGATGGTCACGCCGCAATCCCTTCTCCTCCATTCTCCTCTCGGGATCTTGGGCACGCACGCATACGCACCCAGCGTGAGTTTTAAGCCACCGGGTCTGGGACACGAACCGCGGTCGACTACGTGGGAGTCCAGCGACATAGCCATTACGCTAACTGCTGGTTCCCAAGGGTTTAATTTTAATGAAGTTCAGTTTATCAGTAATTTGAACATCTTTACACTTTATGGTAATTTAGTCCTTGTGTGTTTTTAGTATGTATCTTTGTGTGGTTATTTCTTAAGGAGATGCTCTAGTAATTACAGTCTATGTGCTTACCTCTTCAGTCTGTTTATCATGCTGTATTACTTTTTAGTCGGTGCTCTGGTAATGCCAATATATTGGGTTGTCGGAAAGTCATGATGCATTTTTCTCCACCAACGTCCATCATGACTTTTCCAACGACCCAACCCAGGCTTACCTCTTCAGCCCACTTACACTCGATACTGTACCATTTCAAGACGAGGGGACAACCAGGTCGCATCTGTCCTTGTGTATCTTCATTCCACGACGGAGCCTGTCCAATGAATTTTCATTTTGGTTATTTTCTTTCTCAGGTCTAAAAGTTTCATTTGGTTCTTTTTCTGTCTTCTGATTTTTTCTGAGACTTTGTCTTTCAGCTAATTTACTAGTGGGCATTTCGTATATAAAGCTGCTTTAGCGTCTCTGTCCAACCCGAGTCACCAGCGGAGTGGAGCTGTCTTGGTGTCCCCAGATACTTGTCGTATTGTTAGGAGCCTCTGGGCCTCACTGCAGTCCTGCGATGAGAGTTGGCATTTTGACTTCCTGGCGACTGATGCTGTCAGGTTCAGGCTGCGCGTTCCAGCCAGGCCCCTCTGGGTATGGTTTCAGTGCCGCCCTGTCCACGCAGCCCTGTGCTGTGTGCGTGCCACTCAGGGCGACCTGGGCACAGCTGGGCTGCGTCTCTTTCTCAGCACCTTGGGAGCGCTGTCGAGGCCAGGCCCGTGTGCACAGTGAGCTGTGAGTCCATGGTCAGCTTTATTCGGCTACTTTCCTGAGCTTCCCTCTCCCGCATCTCCCTGGAAACTTCTAGTTCCCTGCTGCTCATCTTTTTGGTCTTCTGGCCAGAAAGCTGGGGTTTTATTTACCCCATTCTGCCTTATGCTTCCTGTGATACACCCAGGAACCGGGCCTCGTGGCAAGAGAATAGAGGAAAAACGAACAGGCTCTGCTCCATTCTCCTGCACCTGGGGTAAGAGGTCCCCTCCCTCAGAGTTCCGGGTTCCCCCAGACCCCGTGTGTCACTGCTGTGCTACCACAGCGGCAGCGGGGTGCCTGGGGCTGGGGTGTGAGCAAACAGAAAAGAAAAAAGCCCACAGAGGGTTCCCGCACTCACTCTATGTATCGTAAGTCCCTTCCCATCCTCCTCCGGGTCCTCTCTCTGTTCCTGCCCGACGCCACTCTCAGGTTTCAGGCGGTCTTAAGAGCGGGCCTGGAGAGACAGGGGGTGTGGTGTGGTATGTACAGTTCCGGTCTTCTTCCCAGTCCGCTTACTGCTATGCGCCTTTCCAGGTCCTATGAATAGCTGCCCCCGTGCATGTACTGGGGCTGCTTTCAGCAAGAGCGACGAGTGGGTGCGTACATCTGTGTGTGTGCATCAGTGTGTGCGTGTTCACCTGTGTGTGTGTGCATCTGTGTGTGTACATCAGCGTGTGCGCATCTCTGTGTGTGTGCATCTGTGTGTATGTGTATATCTGTGTGTGCACATCTGTGTGTGTGGATCTGAGTGTGTGCATCTCTGTGTGTACATCTCTGTATCTGTAAATCTGTGTATGTGTGCATCTGTTTGTGTATGTGTACATCTGTGTGTGCACGTCTATGTGTATGTGTGCATCAGTGTGTGTGTGCATCTGTATGTGTGGGCATCTGTGTGTATGTGTACATCTGCATCTGTGTGCATCTCTGTGCATGTGTATTTGTGCATATGTGTACATCTGTGTGTGCACATCTCTGTGTATGCATCTGTGTGTGTGTTCATCTCTGTGTGTGCACATCTGTGTGTATGCATCTGTGTGTGTGTTCATCTCTGTGTGTGCACATCTGTGTGTATGCATCTGTGTGTGTGTTCATCTCTGTGTGTGCATCTTCATGTATGTATGCACATCTCTGTGTGTGTACATCTGTGTTTGTGTACATCTGGGACCTGGAGGCTTACTTTCTCATTCTCTCTCTCTCCCTCATGAGTGCATGTGCCTTGTAGCAAGTTTAAGAAATAATAATAATAAATAAAATAATTACTTAAAAAAGAAAAAAAGATACTCCTTACCCCAGACCTCCCACTCTGGCCGCGTCCTTGACCCTCCATTGTGGTCGGGGTGCTTGCTTGGACTGGCTGCCTTGGTGCAGCAGATGCCAGGAGCTGAAGCCCAGCGGACCACAGGGAGGCAGAGGCTCTGGGGCCCAGGCAGGCAGGAGGATGAGCAAGCCCTGTGTCTCTGCTTGGACCTTCCCCTCAATGGAGGCCTGAACTGAACGCATCTGTGCTGAGCCCCGGGCACTACTGTGCCTGGCATGTCATCCACCCTCACACGACCCTATGAGGCATGTTGACACTGTAGTCCCACTTTACAACCGCAGGGTGTGAGGTGTGCTCAGGAGCAGCAGGTCTGGCCAATGTGGACCCAGCGTGCAGAGCACACCACCAGCTTTAGCTCATGGGCGAGGGGCCACGCTGCGCAGCCCTGGCAGAGAGCTCACGGGCTGTGCAGAGCCTGTCCACTCCACTGTGTCCATGCCACACCTAGCCCCCACATGTCCCTGCGTCACGCGATACCTTCCATGACCGTCATTGCCAAATGCCGTCCTTTCCAACCTCGGAACAGACGAAGCAGTGCTGTTCAGTTAAACTACTTTTCCAAGTCATTGCGTCTCAACATCGAGTGTTGCCGGGGTAAGCATTCAGCCTAACACCTAGGGACGTGGGTCTCGGGGCTGGGCTGCTGAGTGGGCACTCTGCATCCCTCCAGTTGGACGCCATCCTCTTGAATACAACATGCTACCCACTTTCTATTCTAAAACGTAATGGTGGCACATGGCTTAGATAAGGACCCAGCTGGCCTGGGCTGGTTCGTTTCTATGATTTAATTTCTGTATGTCGCTGAGTATCATTTTGGAGGAAAATATGGTGGTTCTCTGTGTGAGTTCAACTGGGTATCCCAGACTTGCCCTTGGTGATCTAGAGTAGTCTTGCGAACATACATTTAACTTGAGTTTATTTAAAAGCTCAGTGTGAAACCTCTTCACGTAGTGCACCTGCAGTGTAGACACAGAGCTAAATCAGGGGTCCCAAGTCATTGCCAGTAGCTACCACCAGCATCAAAACGATGATGACATTTATTATTAGTGTTATTAATAGTACCAAGTACTCAGGAGGCTGGGCAGGAGTATTGTGTTAGAGCAAGACCCTAAGAAAGTAATAATGAGCCATGAGATCAATGATACGAGTTGAGCATTCCTTGTGCGAAACACTTGGGACCAGAAGATTTTCAGATTTTGGAATATTTGGGGATGGGACCCAAGTGTAAAGAACTCATTGTCGCATGTGCACTGTACACCTACCGCCTGAAGGCAGCCTAGTCCGTGTATCTGAATGGCAGCATTGGCTGTGACCTGTCCCCTGAGGTCAGATGTGGAACTTTCATCAAGTTGTCACTCACGGAGGTTTAGAGTTGGGATACTCAGTTATTCTTTTTAGTTATGTCACATGTGATTACATTGTATTATAATAAACGTGATAAAATATTCTTTTTTAAGAATTATTTTATTTAACTTTATTCATAATTATTATTGTTTTTTAATTTGACCAGAGAGAGAGAGAGAGACAGAAAGAGGGAACATGAGAAGGTGAGCCTTCAGGTCCAGGACTCGAACTGCGGTTGGCATATCCACCACCCCACCTGCCAGCCCCAAACAGATAAGAAAATATGCTATTAATAGTTTTCATTGTGGCGATTTCTATGGTGGTGGCAGTTGGCCAGCCGCCTGGCCTGGCATTTTACCCGCCACGTCACCCTGTAGGTGCCCCTCGCTCTGTGCAGAGGCCGTCATTACTGTTGCTTTACCGTCCAT